CACAAATTCAGAACCAATTATACTCTAGTATTCGGTTGATTTTTAAATGGAATCCTCAATAAGTAGAAAACACTATCTTAATATAAAAGCGAAACTTCTACAGAACAATTTGAAGGATCTGAGGCAAACTAAGTGAGTCGTCAATTTTTGAGTAAAACATACCTTCGAAACTGTTATTCTCACTGATTAAAACTGAAATAATTTAACAAGCAAGAAACTATCAATCTACGAAGTTTGGCTTAGTTAATTTCACTTATGCTTTAAACTTATAATTCCTAGTTTACTATAATATTAACATATTTGTTAAAACTATGTAGAAAAGCGCCAGCAGAAACAGTTTTGATATCCTTGATTGCGAAATACAATTTTCAATTTAACTATTTACGTATTTAACTTATAGGTTTCAACAATTTCTACACCTACATCTGGTATAATAAACGGAGAATACTAAGTTGAATCGGTTTATTTCACATTTTAAGAAACACGAAAGAATCTCTTTTCAACGAATTTATTGTCAAGCTGTACAATCGTTTATATATGAAAGCTTTTTTGCTAAAGTACTATTAGTTTCCTGAGGAAATGTGAACACTAATAAGATCATAATACTAGATTACGTAATATGAATATAATAACAGTAGACTAAGTAAGTTAGTAACGAATTATAACGTGAATGTAGTATGATGACTAAAATGTTTTCGTCACTATGTGAAGCCTTTTTTAAATATAATAAAAAAATGAAAATAGTAATATCATAATAGTATGTTTTTGTAATGATTAATTATTTACTAATCTGAAATAAAAATCAGTGGTGAGCCAACTTAAATATAGGAGTGATCTTTGTTTATTAGTTTAGTGTGCTCAAATTTGTAGTGTATACACATTGAAGTATTTGTACTTTTACATTAATCACTACTTCTATAAATAAGGTATTGTATTTTATATACACCAATATTTCGGCATACACTACTCATAAATATGATCGAATAACTACTAAGTCTACTAATTAATATCACTTGATCATTAGGTCGATATTATTAAAACACTGAATACATATACATAGTAATGACTCATATTATACATTTGAGCATTTTATATATCTAGTAGACCAAATACTAAGACACGAATCGACTTAAAGTTTGTGCAGTACAAGTCAATACTACGAATGTGTATTCAGTGTTTTCATAACATTGATCTTATTATTAAATGATACTGATTGATGGGTCTAATCATTAGTCACTCATATTTATCAATAGTGTATGTCAAAATAATACCAATGTTAACACTTTTAGTGCTATTGCATAGACGTTAAGCTCATCATTCATGACTAATTATTGTTATAGCTTGTGGCCCTATCAATATATGACGTGATGATACCTTCAATTACAGAACAGTGATTTATCGACCGAACATATGATGCGTAGAACCCATATGAGCAGTCTAGAATCATTATCGGTCCTTCTTCTCCCTGCCTAACACTACATGTTAACTTCACAACACCAATCTCAACCTCTATGGTATGAATCATGTATTTCAAACATACTGGGTTTATATACAAACCAAACAGACCACATCGTACCATAAAATAGAAAATCACATAAATATAAAACTAAATAATTTACATCACACACCATTTACTTGGGCATGAGCCGCACTCTAAATATGAGGACTAATGGTATAAACTGTCTGCCCAAACTGAAGTATGCAAAGCGGGATTCGAAATTGTGAATAAGTGGCTGAAAATCTCTCACCTTAACCACTAATTTACGGCTCTACTTACATAAGGAAATGTCATTTATTTAAGTGGTCAACTATCATTTAAAGTCAAAAATATCAGAATGTTCACATTATAAGAGTAAAAATCAGTGATAAATATCAACCCCACAATCACTCAACTGTTATAAATAAATAAAAACTCAATTAGCTTAGTCTATTTAATTAAAAATTAATTCGAATCTCGCGGAGTGGGATCGTGGATGGGCGCTGCTGAGGAGTCCCATAGTAAGATGAAATGGCCATCTAGTTCCTTCAAGTTTTCCATGGTGGTCTGGTTTCAATCAACTCATGAAATCGATTATTAAACTTGTAAGTTTACTATAAGACAGGACTAATTTTACACAGAGTAAATCAAATCTGGTTAGCTCTTACTGGTTGTTGATATTCAATCATGAATTGTGAAACTGATGAAAGAATAAAAATCGATTCTCAGTGATATTAATTAACCATTGATCTAATAGGTTTTTTAAGTCAGTGATAACAAAATGCTAAACAAATTGAACGTTTTCAGGTCACTTCATATTTTTATAAAAACTAATAGCATATAAAATGGACTAGACTATACCGTGTTATTCATGAATTGGAGGATATTAATTCAGTTTATCAATCAATAGACCAAATACAGTATAAGAGAAAATTTCAAATTTATTTTATTTATTTTAAAACATTAACTACACATGGAGTCGATGTAGGGTTACTACCAGTCCCAAGCTTAGATGAAGTATCCGGTTCGGGCGTAGAATTATCAATCAAACCACGTAAAAAAAGACTTCTCTGCAAAAACTCTAACTAGAATAACTTAATTTAATTAAACTCTGTCCTATGAGTTCATACGGAACAGTAATGATGAAAACCACGATTCTTTAGAGACCATGAGACCGTTTCTCATTATGAAAATCAGAGTGACAACTAATATAGATACATAAAATGGCTGAAAAATGAAGAAGACCCAAAGAACCATTCAAATAATAATAGAAAGGAAACGATACAACCTAGCTGTCCTTAGAATAGATGAAACACATTGACTTCAATAAATCTGTTATTACATTCTCGTCACAAAGAAAAGAGCCCACACATACAAGGAGTTGCACTAATGGTGCCTAAAAACGGAAGGAAATCACCTACAGGATGGGAATCGTTTGGTTCCGGGATCATCAGTGCATTCTTCAATGTAAAAAAGGGGGAATTGCACTATGCGCTCACCGATGGTTACAACTAAGGTGGCAAAGATCAGATCTATGACATACTTAAGTCCATTACACAGAAATTTCTGGGAAGAAACTTGACCATCCTCAACGCACAGTTCGAGGAAAATAACACCAGGACTGAAGACATCATGGAGCGACATGAGTGGAAGACGAAATCGAAAATGTCGAGACTTGCGAATCTACGTACTGTCAACAACATAGTTATAGGTGGTACCGTTTTCCCACATAAACGAACACACAAGGCCACTATATGCTTCACTGCATCACACGACAGAAAACAACATAGATAACACATGCAGGATTTAAACGTTCAGAAAGTTCACGGAAGACATAAGAACAAAGAAAGGATCTGATACAGCCTTAGATCATCACTTTTGATGACCAAGGTAAAAATTAAGCTAAAGTAGCACTGAGTAGTTGAACAAGCAGTACCACGAAAGTTTAATATAGCCTCCTTTGGAGATGTGAACAACTGAGACGAGTTCAAGATAACTCTCAGCAACAAATTTGAAGCTTTACAAGATCTATTAGGAGAAATTACCACGGATAACAAATGGAAGGTGTTGCATCCTAACGGAGAATAAATGAATTACAACTGCTAAGAACTATTTATAGACTATCATATGTTTTCTTGTGTAACTATTAAGTAACTAGATTATATACATACTTATATTTCTCTTATTATAAGCTTTCATTTGACCTATTGACTACTAGTATACAATTTATTAATCTTACGCTATTCCTAATCTATTAGTTACAGTCCCTCACACTCAAAGCCATTTTTGGTTTGATCTCATTAATTAATATTTTCCATTTATGGTGTGATGTGATTTGGTCTCCTTGTATATTAACTGTATGTGTCTGCAATATGAATCATTATATTTCAAAAATACTGAGTTTATATACCAATCAAACAGACCACAACGTAACATAAAATAGTAAATAACATTTATACAAAATTTGGCCAAATGTGACTGTGAATGTGGGAGGTAGTGACTAATAGACAGGGCATAATTCAAGAATGGTAAAACGTATAATAATGGTCATAGGTCAAAATAAAGCTTATAATAAAAGGAACAGGAGTATGGATAGTTTAGTTATTTAACAATTATACGATAAAAATATACGTTTAGTATTGGTCCATAAAAGGATTCCAAAGTTACCATTCATTACGTTTATCGGGACCTAACAGGACTCAAAGTCGATTTTAGGTTGCTCGTGCTGGCTAACGCGTCATTAGTTTGGCACAGGGCCAAGTCGTATATGTCGGTGTTCTGAATGGCGATCCTATCACGTGATAATTAACAGGGTAAAAGTTATTGCCAAGAGGTGTTGAGCCGCAAGGATAACCAAAATAACGAATGAATCTCTGTAAATAGTCTCTAAGTTAGGTAGTTTAATTGTGTAGCTTTCATTGTCATTTTGAACAGTAACATTAGCAATTACTTTATGCAGAAGTGAGGTTGCATTGATGTAAAATCAACTGATTCTGATGGTCTTACTTGTTATTACTATTTGCCTTTATCGGTTTCGCTGCCCTCATTTATTCTTGTTTCAGTGGCCTCTGACATGTAATTAACTGAACGTTCCATAAAGTTGATAGTGATCTTTAGAAAGACAATGAAAACTCTGTAATTAAACCATCTACGTCATAGAATTCATCAATATAAAGAAAACTTAGTCGAATTTCCAAGTTAATTTTTAAAATCAAATTACTGACAATCACACTAAACTTAGTTGTTTTAAATTATTAATATACTCAATTATACCAAACCTTGAAAAAACAGCCAACAAGAAAAGCAAGTGATTTTCGATTACATAAAAAGCGGACAGTTACTATTACTTCACATAACAAGTACAAAAACAGAGTGTATATGTTTACTTGTGGAAGAGAGAAGGAGAAAGAAAACAAATATCACTCAACACACAATTATCAATTCTTAAATACATAAACAACACATACACACATTTACATCTGCATATGAAATAATAACAATACAAAAACAAGAGTTCCATCGGTTAATTCGCATGTTTTACTAATGGTTTGGATGGTAATGGTTGTATAGTACTGTTAGATGACTTGGTGAATTTCAGAGCTAATTTATTCCCTGATTCATTTCGATTGATTCTATTGGTTGAACTTGTATGAGATGATTTGAAAGTGCTGACCTTGGATATTTGGGGCTGATGTTGTGCCTGGTGATGATGATTATTTTTTAATGACAATTTTTGACTGTGAATATCCTGTGTACTACTCTCCCCATTCTCCACAATCAATTGTTCATCGAAGAAGCTGCAATATTAGTAAATGTAAAACTGCTTTAGGAAGAAAAAGACATGAAGGAATTATAATGGAATTTGGAACATTACTAAAAGATAACATAATAGTATTAGGAAAATTAACCATTGTGTTTACCTGCTACCTGGTCAATTTATATTATTAAAACTACTAAGTATACGTTAGTTAACATTTCAATTCATGAAATAACTGAACTATCTCGTAACGGCTATTTCCAGTTGACTTTTTCACACTCAACATAGTTGAAATCCACTATTTACTACTGCTAACTAGAACTGTGGAAGTTACCACTGAAAATTAGTTACTAATGAGCATGTGGTTATCATTTGTGTAAGGGATTTGTTGAGAATCATGCAGTTATCAACCACTGGATGCAGACTGAGTGGTCTGAAAGTCAATTGGTGGCCACAAGTCCTAAAGGTCTGGGGTTCGATCCAATAGGGTGGTGAATGAGCACTGTTAGATAGCTCTATTTTAAAACGAAACGGTTTTATAGTAACTAATGTTTTCAACTGGTTGTTAAACTAAGATCGATTCGTGATGTAAACAATAAAATTCAACAATCTCCACAAATACCTTAATTAGGAGAGACTGGTCACCCGGAGATTTTCGACTTAATTCAATTCCCTTTCTAGCAACTATCTAATTCTTCCACACTTTAGATTTTTAATAAAAGTTATTTGTACAACCTGATGGTATCGGGCATAACGTCAAATAATAAGTATAAAGATAATTTTCAAAGCCATATGTAGAGTAAAAGCTATCAGCCTACAAAAATCCCCAAGAAAAAACCTAAAAGAATTGATATGATTTTAATGACTTAATCGAATAATTTCACAGATAATAAGAATTTCGGGGTTTTATATCAGATTATCGAGTTCAATTAAAGAAATAAAATATATTTGAGTGGTGGTTTCATATAATTCACTTCAGTGTGCAGTCAATCCCTTGATATTATCAAGAAAAGTAAATGAATGATTACTCTGAGATAATTTACCAGAGATATAAGAAGGTGATATTTGTTTTACTAAGAAATATCTTTATTAGACTGACTTCAAGTATAGATGAAAACATTGATACATTAGAATTGATTGATCACTGGGTGGTGATCAATGTCATGTGTGTCAAGTCCCTATTTAGTGCAGGTACACCTTGCTGACGAGTGCCAAGTAGCACGAAACCCAGGTCCAGGATTTCCTGTCGACTACCTCCAACCACCATTCAGTCTCAATATATATAGTGCACGCAGTGTCAAGTCACCTAGACTGGTGGCCACATTGCAACATGGTCGATAGCATTCGATCTGCACTAAATAACGACTTGACACAAAAGACATTGATCACCACCCAGTGATCAATCAATTGTGATTACATCTCAGAATTACAGAAGGTCAGTGGCGGCCACGATAGCTCAGTGGTAACGTCTCTAACTGTGAAGCTGGGTGATACGGGGTTGGATCCGCCAGGGAGCACCAGTTCCCTTACTGACGAGTGCCAAGTAGAACGAAACCCGGGTCCAGGATTTCCTGTCGACTACCTCTAACCACCATCTAATCTCAACAATGATACGTTTTTCTCTTTGAGAGGACTCATAAAAGTACCATTATAGTTTTATTATCACGCTACATGATTTAAGGATACGACTTTGTTTAGTATGTCGATCTGTTGTCAGATAAAATACATACTTTAATGCTGTCAATAGACTAAATTTATCTGATACTCTAAAGTTTAGTCGTTACAATTAAATCAATCTGTTAATAGAAATATTCATAGCGGATATGTAAAACGTAATCTTTTAAAAAGCTTAAGTATCATCTTAAATTAACATATATCCAAGTTTGTTTCACTTATTTATGCTAAACCGAGTTTGTGTAGTTCAACAATGACTAATATATTATGATGAGGCTATGAGGGTTCTCAGAACGTCTTCATCCTCTATCAGAACTTTAAACGTTACAATACATTAGTAAAATGTTCCGAAATGTTTGAATTTTATCAACATACTGATCTAACAGAATTATGTTCATCAAGTAACTCAGGTTAATTAAAGCGTATCTGATGAGGGAAGTAATCTTTGAAAGACTAAGAAAAAAGTTGTTAAATACAATGTCGTCAAATAATAGCTAGTTTGAAGTTGTAAGATGTTCACAAGCATTTAAGTAAAGAATATTCACTAAAATCGTTTCTCGATTAATGAAGCCAAATGTTACTGTGTTACTATAAAAATATAACTGAATCTGGATACAATCCGAATAGATAGGCCAACGTAACAAACTTTCATATTCGTAACTTAACTCAAGCGTCTTGGTATCTGACTCTCAACATTCAAATCATGAGTCCAAATACAAAGATAATGTCCCAAGCACTAATACATTACATTTAACTTAAAATCTAATACACAAACACTGGTTACTGTATATTTTTAGAAGTATTATGCACAATGATGTTCATTGATCATCGACCCTGTGATAATTATATACGAAGAAGAAGAAGAAAAAAAAATACCTCAACCTAAGAAGAAGCATAAACGTCCTCGACGCACCAGATCCTAATAATATGCTCAAACGTAAGGTGATAGTGGGATATAGATTAGATTAAAGTATGCTCAATGCACGATTGCTTTGGCGCACACTGAATGGCTATTTCTTATCCAATCCGCACTAGTTGATGCTTGGAGAACACTCTACAATCTTCTCATGCAAAAACTATAAATATAATAACGTGTTTCCTACTGTGCTTCTTACTTTCATCTAACCTTGTTATTTGGAATATAATCTCTTTCCTGTTCAACTGTGTTCTGATTTGGGCACTTATCGAGTGAATTGGTGTCCAAGAATACTAATCAATAGGAATAGCTGGGTTGTAATAAGAGAGAATTATAACACAAACATACTTAAAAAAGAATGAACTATTTGAAATCCAGGTTAATTTTGTAAATATATTATCATATTCAAATAATCTTCAGTAAACAAGAGAAAGCTTGATAATATGAATCATACAATTTAAGAAATAGCTATCGTGAACTATTCAAAATCTATATAAATCATTAACACTTCATGATTTAGAAAGTTACTAAGATTAGACTCTATCATCACTATGAAGAGCATGAACAAAACATAATGAATGTATCCATTTAAATTCCAAGATTGACTTTAAACTGTAAACATGTTATCATATATCAAGAATGTGTTTTTTTAAGTTGACAAAATATCCTTAAAGCAATTAGTCCCTTTTATAAATTTCGGTAGAACAATGAGGAGACGGAGTGGTATAGCGCAAATACATCACATTTTTCAGATCAACTCCGTCTTCTCATTGTTCTATCGAAAAAATATCCTTATCCTAAGATGTATTTCAAATATTCTATTGAGATGAACAATACAATACTCTATCACTAGATAGTTTAAATTTTATTTCTATTCAATCACCTATTTTCCTACTCATATATATATATATATATATATATATATATATATATATATATATATCATGTGAATGAAATCGTGACCATTGAATAGGAGAAAATTAAAAGATTATTCACGGGACTATATTCATACTACAATGAATATAATAAGCTATTATTCTAACAAATATTTATTTATTAAAACTTTATAAGAATAATCATTCATTATAATCAACAATAATATCACATAAGTATTACCATTCAACATGTGATGGTGAGTCGTTTAACTTTTGTCTATTAGAAGAACAATTTGATGTAATTGGAAAAATAGATGATGAATTTGTGTTGATCAGATCAGAATTAATTGATTGTAGTGAATATGATGAAGAACAGAATTCAGATAGTGTACGATTATTATTAACAGATCGATTATTAATTGGGCTTGTACCGACATCCACCTAATAATAATAATAATAATAATAATAATAATAATAATATGTTATTAACAACAATACAACTTGAGTGAGAGAATAATTAAACTATTACATTGTATTAAGTAGAATAATTCAATAGAAAAATATACAATGAACAAAAACAAATAGTTCACTTGGTATTGTTTGGCTTGTATCTTCCCATTGAGGTTTAAGACTGTAATTGATCAGTCTGATATTGGCATACGCACAGTATGCACATATGCCAATAACAGACTGATCAATTGCAGTCTTAAACCTCAATGGGAAGATACAAGCTAAACAATACTAAGTGAATTTAAATTCACCCCATTGCATAAGCAAGTGGCTATCAGGACTCAGTAGCTGAGTGGATAACGCAATGGCGTCTGGTGAGAATGGTACTGAGTTCGAGTCCCAGAGTGAACATCAACTCTGAGGTTCAGGTACATCCAGCTGACGAGTCCCAAATGGGACGAAACGCGCGTCCTGGATTCTACTGCTAGCCAGTCTCCATCATTGCTTTCAAAAAACAAATAGTTTGAGGATTTCAAGAGTAATTCTCATTATAAATTGATGTTAGCATAGTTAGTAATAGCACATTACTAGAAAGAGAAAATTGTCCAATGGTTCATGGTTTTCAATAATTCATCATGCATGATAACTTGGAAACTAAAAAGTTTATTTTAAACGAAAAAGGATACCAATATATATTTTCATTCTTGTTTTAACATGTATAAATGAAAATAGGACAAGTTAGAAAATACAATGACAAAGTAATAAGTAAACAGTGACACGATAAATATCATAGTGAGAAAGGTGTATACATTATTTTGAACAAAATGAGTAGCATCCTAATTTATTTGCTCAAGCCAATAGGTTTGACTAATTAAATTAAGGTAACCAAATTTGAAAATAACTAATTTAATTGTTTAAGACTGAATTCATCAGAGATGGGGATAGATTTATTGAAAATGTTTTATATCTGAATAGTTACTTAGATCATTTGTTAAAACGGTAAGACTACAATTTATGGACGACTTTTGAGCAACACCAAAGTGACCTTGAGAATGTTCACCTACTAACTAGGACTAAATGTGAGCTATAAACCGGTGTGTGAGGAATAAGAATTATGATTTCCAATTGATGGTTAGGGTTAACAATTGGATTTAGAGTTTTTATCAAGAACTGACATCAACTAAAATGACAAAATGCTATTTAGCCAAATGGATGAATGAATTTCGTGCCAAAATCCAAGATATCCTAAATCTGATTGGTTCGTCCATAAAATATAATCTCGCAACTAAAACATTAAATTAATATGCAAAATTGCATTAGCATGGAGCTTAACAAGGTAGCACAGTGGTGCTTAAAATGGTAACTGGAGCTCAATACGGCTAAATGTATATGGATATGCTTCGGCGATACATCACTCAACCTAGACATTACCAAAAATGGAGAAGTGTTATCTAAGTTACATACAGTAGTAGACTTAGGACTTAGATATTCCCAAGACTTGTCGTTTACAGAACATATATTAAAACAGACCTCTAAGTCTCAACGTCTAATAGGTTACATAACTCGAAATCTTTACAACAATGAGTCACCTATTCTAATGTACAAAGTTTGTGCTCGACCTCTTCTAGAATATTGCACGTTTATTCTTAGCAGTGCGCGCATAAAGGATAAATTAAGGCTGGAATCAGTACACAGACGATTTACACTTCGTATTCTTGGAGCTGATTGCACCTTAACTTATAATTCTAGATGTAATAAACTTGAGCTAGACCCTTTATGGAGGAGAAGACTCAAACTAAATCTTATCTTTTTCTTCAAACTACTTCATGAACTATCGTTTACATTCAATCACGCGATTCAATATGCAGAAACTTCTCATTATGACATCCGTAATTCCTTGGCACTAGTGAAACAAACTCATTCTAAATCATCTCTTTATATGAATTACTTCACCTGTAAATTTTCTAGACTCTGGAATAACCTACCACAATCTATCCCATTATTTGTTCGCTGCATCGATGCATAGTGCTCTTCTGAAAGTGCATTGAATGGTCTAGCACCTGTAAGTGTATCTCATTCCACAAGTAATATTATAAGAACTTTAAATGTTTAGCCATCTTTATTAGTGCATTCCCTAAGTAAAACCACCTACTTGCTGTCACTTTATGTTAACACTGTCCCCAGCAAGTTTAACTAATTTGGATAACATCAACAGTATATCACTGTGTCACATGACACACGCATTTAGGTAGACCTGATTCATATATTTTGGTAATTACTGCTTTGTTTTTCCGTGCTCTGTGTTTTCGTTTTAATTTCTCTAGTTGTAGATAATTATCATTAGTTCGATCTGGCACACGAAATGACCTTAATTACTCCGTTAATAAATCAACAGGCAGTCCATTTAGGAAATATTAAAAATTTCCGGCTGATGCATTGAATCACTGTAATACATGTACTACCTAAACAATTACTGAACTTGTATACTTAAAACGTTCTTCTATCACATGTTTGTTCTGTACATCTTATTTTGCTATTTATATCAAATTGATCATGGCTGTAAACTGGCGTGAATTCTGTAATTATTACTTTCAGAATATAAATTATTATTATTATATGTGGTTATAATAAGTACAACTGAATTAAATCTTCTAGTGAAATTCTTTCACAATTTCATCTGGCAATAAGTGTTAGTTATCTGTAATCATCTAAATTTGCTAATCAACTACATTGTTTGAAGAAGGTAGATTTTAATTATATTTACTGCTTTCATATTTATGTAACAAGTCCATAAATGGTAACAAACACACAATACACTGTAGTTTTCCAAATGAAATGACACCAGAATTTTACAAGTAAATTTCATCTAACTTTCATAAATTGATTAATGTTAGAAATTAAAACCACTGAATCCCCATTCAACAGTTTTAAAGTTACACATTTGTCACGAGACCTGACTATCCTGGATTTAACACTTGTAAAGTTTTGAATGTTCAATGCAAATAATTCGTAAACTTTAATGAAGCAACAATTCAGTACTTCGTGGTTTTCAATGATTATCTAGGTCCCACAATAGGACGAAACAGCCGTCCAGTGCTTCCATATTTTCCATGGTAGTCTAGCTTCAACTGACTCATGATCTTAATCATTGAAATTACTACAATCTCCACAAAGTCCATCTGATATCAAATCAATCTGTTAAGTGAGTTATCAAATTTATCAAGTAATGTTGTATTGAATTTAAACAGTGAGTTGTATGGACGAAATAATTCAACATGGATTTCGTAAAATTCTAAGGGACTTTCATAATAAGATAATACAACTGTTTATCGTATCATGATTTTGTTACATCACATCTAATTTATGTTGATTTTCATAAGTAACCAAAAGATGAAGGTTAATCAATGAAAAGTTTATTATCGATTAAAACATACGTTTTCTAGGTGCCTGTATTTCTACGTCTACTTATGTTAATAATGTATGTACATACTTGAAAAACAAAGGAATTTAACATAAAGCACAGTATTGATAACCTAATGAAGACTAAGATATAATTGTAATAAGACTTAATTTTGCAAAATTAGATTATCTGAATGTTTATCAGTATATAACACGTTCATTACTTACTATATGACTTCTTAATTTACCTGTATAGTATAATTCCTGATAACCTTATTTGAATTAAGCTTTTTCTGATATAGTACAAGTAAGCACATTTTGAGGCAATCAGTTTTCTATAAGAAAACTATTCATTAACCTATCAGCTTAAAATGAATTTTAATTTACTTACCTATAACATGGTGTTGATATTAAAGGAAAATTTATTAATTTGTACCGATAAAAAGTACTTATCAATATATATGGTACTGGAGACTGTTGGATTCTATTGACCTCACGAATGGATTTAAGTTACACAACCAATAAGGAAGTTACTCACCAAAAACAAAGGAAGATGGTCGGGTTGGTCGAAGTTAAACTTGTGCACCCTTGTATACCACCTCAATAGTCGAGAGGTTAGAGCATTGGCGTGTTAGACTAAAGGCACTTTTCAATGCAGTGTAAACATTTTCAATAGAGAATAAACTAGTCTGTGTGGATTTTATTCTTACTGAACAGTAACGCATGAACTTTTACTTAAGTTTGCATTATTTGTTTGTTGTGTAGTTGCTGTATTTGAACAACTTCAGTTTATTTATCATAAATTTAAATCAGTCGAGTATATTTCATACAGATTAAAAATATTGAAAAAAAATAAGACAGAGATTGTTTTATTGAAGATACTTCATCCGGAAGTGAAAACAGTTTAAAGTTTCAAACAGATTTAACGTGAAAACATAAATATTATTAAATAGTGAAAACATTCAGAATATCATTGAAATTGTGACATTATTTGACGGTTGGAGGTGACCAATATTCAATCCTGGACAAAGGTTTCATGCTATTTGACACTCATAATTTGGTGTGCCTGATATCTTTTCGAAACATATGCATCCGTGAGACTCCGATCAGCGTCAACAGACCTCAAGGTCGGAAATGTCATCACTGAGCTATTGAGGTCATAACTGACCTCCTGTAAAACTGACATATTTGTAATTGATTGATTTTTGTGTAATGAATAGTGTCATGTTTGTTTAATCCTTCGGTACTAATAGAATTCTGTCAATCAAGTTCAAGATTACTGTGACCTTATTAAAGAAACGTCTTGCTAACGAACACTAACGAGCTTGTTGCCTAGGTAAAGAGCTCCCTGCCAAATACTTAAAACTACTTAGTATCTAAAGCGAGTGAACACGATATTGATTACCTAGACAAATGACCACATTGTAACTTTATTGATAGAATGCAATTAGCAATAAAGGACTACGCAAACACGAGATGGGTCACTACTCAACAATCAATCAATTGTAAAGTATTATATTTGGAACTAATAATAACAAATCTCATAGTATTAAGATTATCATTCTGTGGCATATATACATATATTTTGAAAG